CTTTACCCCACTCATTTTTCCTATCCTTTGGTGATTTATAAAATCTTGATAGAAGTTTATTGTATAGTGATCTCAAAATATATATATATATATATATTTGCATGTGGTTATGACAAGGATAACATACTGTTAAGGAAAAGTTTATTATTCTGTTGAGCAAATAAATTTGGTAACATGCATGAAACCATACAAATAAGGTATTTATGGTTGTAAGTAGTTTTGAGATCATGAAGAAAATATATGTAGAGATAAACATATATTTGTTTGATTAGAATAAGAAATCAAACCATTTTAAGTGTTAATGGTTTAGTTGGAAATATCATTTGGAAAGGGAATTAAAATTCTCGTGAATTTATATTCCCGTTATGGAGACTAAAATCTTAGTGATTTTCTACCCCTACTTTGAGATTAAAATCTGTGTGATTTTCTACTTAATCTTTGAGATTAAAATCGTCGTAATTTTCTATTCATTTTTTGAGATTAAAGTCTAAGTGACTTTATACTCGTTTTGGAGATTAAAATCTTAGTGATTCTACTCCAATTTATTATTCGGTTTGAAGACTAAGAACTTCACCGTTTATTAAATTTGATTGTGTCACAATTATTCGATTTGAGGATTAAAAATTTCACCGTTTATTAATGTTGAATGTGTCAGATTGGTTTGAAGATTAAAAACTTCACCATTTATTAATTTTGGCTCTGTCGTGACACAAATAACAGTTCTTGTGGTTGGCTCTACAACGTAATAGGGGCGTCGAATATGAATCTCCTTTTATAGAGTTGTTTAAATGCGAAATTATTCACCAAATGATCGCCCCTTAGTCACCGTAATCTAACGGAATTGCGGAAAGAAAGAATAGAACGTCAAAGGAGATGATGAATGCCTAGTTGATATGTTCTGGTTTACCCAAAACTTGTGGGGGGAAGCTATGCTTACATCTAACCGAATACTCATCCACGTTCCCCATAGCAAGACACAATCTATTCCATATGAAAAATGAAAAGAAAGAAAACCCAACTTGAAATATTTTCAAGTGGGGGGGGTATTTGGGTAAAGTGCAAGTTCTTAAACCCAAAAAGGATAAAAATCGGATCGAAAACTGTTGATTCCATTTTCATAAGGTATGCAACAAATAGTAAGGCATTTCATTTTCTGATTCATAAATCAGAAAAACCCGACATTCATATTAATACAGTAAACAAATCAGATAATGCTGAATTCTTTGAGAATATTTATCCGTATATAAAAGGAATGTGAGTCGTCTAGTGAAATATCTAAGCGACCTCGGGAAAAAGAAAACGAAAGTACACCTAATGAGGTGAATCCAAGACGTAGTAAATGTCAAAGGACAACTACTTCCATTGGATCAGATTTTCTGACATTCTTGTTAGAAAATGAGCTTCAAACTTTGGAAGAAGATATGTCTTCCTCGGAAAGAAGCAGTCAATAGTGAGACAGAATCCATATTAAGTAACCATACTTGGGAGTTAGTTGATCTTAATCTAGGGAACAAACCATTATTTCCAAATGGATTTTCAAGAGATGGTACTATTGGCAAATATAAGGCAAGATTGTTTAAGGATTAAGACAACGAGAAGGTCTTGATTACTTTGACACATGCTCACCGGTAACGAGAATTACATCTATTCGGATGGTAATAGTGTTAGCCACCGTGTATGGCCTTGAAATCCATCAGATGGATGTAAAGTCAACCTTCTTAAATGAATATCTGGAGGAAGAAATTTATATGGAACAACCCGAAGGGTTCATGGTTCCTGGAAAAGAAAAGAAAGTGTGTTGACTTGTTAAGTCACTTTATGGACTAAAACAAGCATCCAAATAATGGCAGGCGAAATTTGACTAAAAAATATTGTCAAATGATTTTAAACTAGTGTATTTACATTAAGAATACTCTAAATTATGTAGTCATTGTTTGGTTATAGATGGATTATATGTTGATAGAAAAGGCACATGAAACATATGAAATGTGGGGGCATTTAGCTTATGCATAACTAAAGCTAATGTTAGACGTGATGTCTATATTATTTTGAAGAACTAGATGATATGATTCTTCAAATCCCACAAATCTTTAGTGGATATTGATATGGTAGTCGGTGAATTCATCAGTTGTTCAGTCTTAGTGAAGACTAGTTGATGAAACTACTAATTCGGAAGTTGGTCACGTGCCTTTCTCGAAAGATTATTTTCTTTCTTGAAAATTTATATTGTTTAGTTCTTTTATGAAATGATGTCACTTTGAATGTTGTGACTTTTCATAGAAAGATACGTCTGTACGTTTTTGTATGGATATGATCGTTCATGAATGAATGTATTAATATGTTGGTCCATAATGAGGTGAACCAACCGATGAATATGACTAAAATCCATTGCAAGTTGGATTTGTTTCATGAATGAAGGTGGTATAGTTTGCATATTATATAGATGTATGAATAAATAACATAAAAATGGCAGAGTGATTGCGAAATGTGTTATATTTTAAAAGGTTGTGGCCACAACTGATGCCAATCATTCTTGTTGTTGTTATAATATATTATTGCTACATTAAGTGTAGTTAATAATCTGATATGCAATTGAATGTCGAGACGTATTAGTCTACGACACAAGGAAGTTCGCATTGAACTGCCAGGACAATAAAATGAGTTTTGGGATATTTAAAATATATCCATGCATTGCACTATAATAACTATCTTACGGTATTGAAGGGTATAGTGATGCAAATTGATTCACCGGATAAACCGAAACTAAATCCGCAAGCGGATATATTTTTACAATCAGTGGAGGAGCAGTGTCTTGGAAATCCTCCAAACAAACGTGCATTACCGCTCTACAATGAAGGCTGAGTTTATAGCCTTAGACAAGGCCGGTGAAGAAGCTAGATGGATCCGGAATTTCTTGAAGAAATTCTTTCTTAGCCCAAAATATTGGCACCTATATGCATACACCGCAATAGTCAAGCGGCAATAGGAAGGGCTGTGAGCATTATGTATAACGGAAAATCTTATCATATACGACGAAGACATAAAACCGTTAGGCAACTACTCTCTAGGGGAATTATCATAATTGACTATGTAAAGTCAAGCGATAATGTGTTGGATCCACTTATAAAAGGCCTAACTAGAGAGGTAGTTGAAAGATCATCGAGGGGAATGTGACTATGGCCGAGGACAAGTCATTGTGGCGGTAACTCAACCTAGAAGACTGGAGATCCCAAGATCTAGGTTCAAGGAGCTCAAACAAAGTCACTAATGACGGTTCAATATTATCAAATAAAATTTCTTTTTGGTCCTTTCTCGTGATAAGACAATGTTCAGTACCAAGGATAAAGCGTTAAGGCTTTTTAAAGGGTGTGAACGGGAAATGGAAATGACACCTTTTGGATTGCACCTCTTCATCTCACCCTTCCTCTGTCTATAAATTTAGAGGCTTGGCCTCATTTTCCAGACATGGAAAAATCTCAAAATTCCTCCCCTCTTTTCTATATATTGTTGCATTATTTTCAAATAACATAAGTGTCAAGTGTGATTTGCTCCGTCTGTTGAGTTCGCTGAAATTCTGTAATTTCGATTGCCAGTATTATAGAATAGTTATTCCATTTTATCCTAGGAGGAATTAATCCAAAACCTTGGGTAACAGTGAGGGGATTAAATTCCTTAAGGACACACAGCAACTTGTGGGCTCGGAATTATTTTTCCTGTTTTGTTTATTAGACTAATGTTTCCAAGGACGGCCCGACAAATTTTAGGGCCTTAAGCCAAACTTTATGAGGGGCCTTAACTTTTTAAGTTTTTTTATTATTTATTTGAAGTATATATTTTTTTATAGCTTTTCTTAGTTACAAAGTTATTAATGATTTTTTTATAATCAATAACTCCTAATAAGTATTTCTCAACTAACAATATAGCTAATCAATTTAACCTTTCTTGTGACATTGTTGTTCATAGGTAAGATTTTATCAATTTTAATTTTGAAAACTTCTTTCTGTTGAAGCAACGGTAATATGAGTTATTAATATTATTTCATAAGAAATTTAGGCATTTGAAAAAGAATTAAATCTTTTTGTTTGATTAAATGTATCAATTAAACTATTATCTTCTAATTGTACTATTTTCCTTAATACTTTTAATTCAGAAAATAAATTTAAACCATCAATATCGAATTGATTATTATGTTTTAGGAAACATTCAAGATTAAAGCAATATTTTTTTAAATTTTCAACATCTAGTGATCTTAGTTTTTACTGCCAAATAGAAAACCAAAAATATTTTCATATTCTTTGAATTGTTCAAATCTATTTTGAAGTGAAAAAATAGCCTTGTCTATTATGTATAAAAGTAATCAACTCTAAAGGACTATTCGAAAGATTTTGAGATTTCATTATCAATATTCGCATCAAATTGTTACTTCCTATATATCACACTTTCTTACGAAATTCGGGTTCGATATTCATTTCAAGTGCAATTTCCTTGGTAGAAATCATAGCAGTTGCAAATCCTTCTTCTCTATATTTGTTAAAGAAAGAAATCAAACTTTTTTACTTTACAGAACTTTTTTTCAGACTTATACATTGTCTATTAGATGTAACAAAAAATGGGGCCTCTACAAATATGGGGCCTAAAGCGGTTGCTTTACTTGCTTTATGGAAGGGCCACCCCTGAATGTTTCTCTGCTTCTCTGATTTTCTGATTTCGAACACAGATTACCAACAGTGTATTAGTAAATAGAATAAGTGAATTGAGATTACTAATGTCAGATGGAGATAAAGGTAGAATAGGTTATATGTCTCGCCCTTGTCTCCTTCACGTAAACTAAAAATAATTGGAACCCTATCAATAAAGAAGAGGCATAAGTATACGAAAGAAACCTAAACTATTTCTGGTAAAAACAATAAATCGAGGACCAAAATAGTCTCACTCATATACTTTGAGGACCATTTTGATCATTTTTTCTAATATCGTTATAATTCGGTTTAGAAGAGTTATCCAAGTCGTTAGTAACTTCCAGAACTTCCTACTCCAATGGACCCAGAAATCCAACCGGCAAACTCTACTCCCTTCGCCGCCGGCGATGATTCTGACGGTCACAACGAAGAGCGGCGAAAACTTTGCTCTAACTGTAACAGACCAATAAAAGTGTGTTTATGCAGCATAATTCCACCGGAACCAATCGCAACCATTAGTCGAATCGTAATCCTTCACCATCCGCACGAGCAACGGCACAAGCTCGCCACAGTCCCTGTTCTATCCAAGTGCCTCCGAAAATGCGACGTTATAGTTGGCCGGAGATTACGCTACGGCGATTCAGAAATTCTCGATTCTCTTCACGATGTTGCTATTCGTAACCCTAATTTTCCGCACAGAGCAATTTATCTGTTTCCTGGTATGAAGTTATTCGAAAAACTTACTTCTTGAGTGAACGAGTTTAATCTTAATTTTATTTGAGATTGTATTGTTGGTAATTTAGGGCCAGTGTTGGTAGAGCTAGATTTGTTGTTATTAATTTGTTGTAAAAGACGAATTTTAGATGTGTTGTTGAGTATCAGCATGAAATGTGTCTAAATGGAGCAGAATGGTTATTTAGGATTCGTATAGCTTACCCGAAGTAGTTGGGATTGAGGTTTTTTGTTGTCTGTTAATAATCGAGAATAGTGAATTGCTATATCTAGCGGAAAAAAGAAAATGTACGCACACTTGGAAGATGATTTGCTACTTAGCAGAAGAGGAAACAGAGGAAAAGGATTTACTTTAATTGAAAGTAAAAGGGAAGTCATAAATTGTAGGTCCGTATGGAGTGCAGTGCTTCTAATTTGGTATTATTTATGTGAGCGTTCTCTATGTATAAAGCTAATGGTACCAGGAAGGCTCAAGAATGAGAAAGGGTTATCAGTGTATACTGTGTAGAGATAAAGGTACCTTGAAGAATGAGCACGGATGGTTACAGAAAATGAGAACGATTTCTCCTTGCTTAGACAGAAATTTAGTGTAAGCACCAAGGCACTAAGACACCTCGTCACTCATGAGTTTTGTCTTTGAAGAGAGCGAGACTAAACAATAAATATAGTTAAACGTCATGAAATCGTTTAGTGTAAGAATATTGCTCAAAAAATTAGATTAGAAACTTAGAATTGCATTTTCCAATCCTAATAAAAAATTTAAACTGATTTTGAACTTGACGAGTTATGAGTTTGCTTGACATATTCTACTCAACTGTAATATCTTTTAATCCCTTTATATAAATAATGGTCTTTTATATTTACAGTTATTATTTTCCCATTAATTATATATGCTTTAACTGTTTTCTTCATTTGTGCGTATCTTCTCCGAAGCTAATGCTTCAACTACACTTTTCTCTTAAAGCTCCAGTAGACTTTAGTGCTTTTCTGCGCGTTTCCCCTTTACAATACTACCAAAAAGAAAAATCTCAAAAAAGATGAAAGGTACTGAATTTGGTCATATAAATGAGCTTAAACATGACTATGTTGTGTGTGTTGTCATATAACAATACCAAACTATGAGGGTGTTTGTATTGGCTTAAAAGCTGGCCAAATTAGCTTAAAAGTACTTTCTTGGCTTGTTTTAGTGTAGGGCAAATATAAAAGGTGCTTTAAGTGAAAACAAACTCAAAATAAGCCAAAAGCAATAAGTTGGTCTACTCCAACTTATTGCTTTTTGACTTAAGAGAACTTGGGGTTTGACCAAACCAATTACATTTTTATCCCTTTCTCCTTCGTCTTTGTCTATCCGTTTGACCTTGCCTGCAATTGCTTCCATGTCGAGTGCTCACATTTTGAGAAGCTCTCTTTCACTTCTTCTTTTGAATCCCTTTCCATTAAACTAGTAAAGATTTCAAAGAGATAAAATAAAAAGCTTTTGGTGGTTGAATGAAAATACGGCAAAAATATTTTAAGGAAAGAAGGTAGGAAAAAAGATGCTTCCATTTGCCCAATTTACATGCTTAACACTAGGGTTTATCTTAATAGTAGTTTGTACACCACGACATGTTACCTATGTTTTTTCTTTGACAGAGAATATTGCATATGAACATACGGTGAAGATCTGGTCAAAGGGAAAAAAATATTTTTCATAAATTAAAACAATTTTATCTAACAAATTTACAACTTAAAATATGTTAAAACATAAACTAATTTGTACCAATTTCAATTTAGAATTAAAACTTGGTAATAATTAATTTATTTTATTTTTAACAGTTTGAGGACATTTTAGTTATTTTAATAGAAAATAGTGCTTATCAGCACTTTTTCTCCAAACCCACCGACTGCTTATTTTAAGCTTCAACACTTCTAGCCAAACACGTAACTGCTTCTTTATGAATTCAGTTCCATCACTCAAAAGTGCTTTCAAGCCCAAATGCTTAAAAGCTACTTTTATTCAATCCAAACGGGCTATATCTAGGGATATAACTCAATATCATCCTTGGACCAAATTTCTTTTGACTATTAATCTGGATTCTCATGCTATAATTATTCAATTATGTCAGATGAATTAGTTGGTTGATGACCATTTTTCGAGCACACCAACCTTGTAGTGGCACTCTCATCGCCTCAACCCTGCAGCATGCACGCCAAGAGAAACAATGTCCTTTCCTTCATTTATTTTCTGATTCTTTTTCTGGTTTTTTAATGGGAAAAAGTTATGTGATTGCGACTCTTCATGTGACTGTGACCCTTCAGGTGCTGATACATCACCATCTCAGGAAATCAATCATTGGAAATCCTCTAAACATATTGTAGAGATGAGCAACTACGTCTTGATTGCTTTTGATGGAACTTGGAAGCACGCTCGAGAGATGATGCGTGCAAGCTTATCATTTTTGTCAAAGTTTGCTGTCCAGGTTCACTTAGACTATGATGTAGGCAATGACGGCGGGACGATCTTCAATTCTGATTTAATTCTTAGGAAGGAACCATTTAGCGGGTGCATGAGTACCATGGAGGCAGTAGCACATTGCTTACGGATTCTTGAGCCTAATGGCATTGATATAGAGTCAAGTTTGATAGAGGTTTTAAGAAGTATGGTCAAGTTTCAGGCTTCTTTTCTCAAGCCTATGAAGCCTAGGCCAAAGTTGATAAAAGGAGGACGAGAGGGAAAAACATAATTGCTTTGTTCCATTTTCTTTGCACTTCTGAAGCAACATGCACAAGGATAGCCTCAAATTCTGTTTTGGTTTGCATGTACCGGACTGCTCACAGTTATCCAGCCTGTACCTGGTACTGTCCCAAGTTTCACTTCCAATTCATATATATCACTGATGGTTTTTATTAGGAAATTCAATATCCCCATTCTGCTTGTGCTTAGTTCCTCTGAATACCTTGACTTGAAAGTTTGAGGCTTATATGTTGTCTAATATGTTTAGATCCTTTGATATGTCAATGCTGTTGTGCTGAAGATCTTATATGGTTTAGAACATATGTTTGTTCTTGAGTTCTTGGATCTATAGAGATATTACAATTTTTGAAGTCATTTTGTAGCAAATGAAGTGCTAGGATGCCAAATGGTTGCAAATTTTTTATTAATGTTCTGGATTGGCAGTTACTATGAATTACGATCTCACTCTTCCTGTTGCAATTCACCATATAGGTATCCCGATTGAGCAAAAGGCATGGCCATGAGGTGCTTTGATGAGGTTATCCAAATCTTCAGTTGCCGAAAACCTTGTCAGGCGGTGTTTTGATTGGTGGGTATATGGCAGTAACCTGCTTATGCGACAGTTGTCTCTCATGCTGCTTTTCTCCAGCCTCAATGGCATCTTGTTTCAGGTCAAATTTCTGTAAAGTAGTCAGCCTGGGAAATCTGAATCTTGGGCTTTGATTTCTTTGATGAGCACATGGAAGCAAGCTAAGGAACTTACATGACATTAATCAATTTTTGCTGCCTAGTTTTATCACATATTTGCAAGTTAGTTGGCTGATGATCTTCAATTTGGACGTGGTCTGCACAAGAATAATGGGCCCAAGTTCGAGTAAAAGAACTTAAGTGCAATTCCTAAAGTCAAATCTTTGAAGCATTGGCTTCATCTGCTGCTTCAAAGAGGGCAAAGAGGATGTCTAAATGATTAATGAGAGTGGATGTCTTCACATGAAGTTTTAATTTGGTTTCCTAGTACTGTTTACTTTAAGAAGTTTGTTCTGTCTTAGTGGTGGTGGTGTAATTATCATTTAATCGTTTGCTTCAAATCACGGCGATTAGTCTTAACTCTTTATGCAGTTGCAGCCAGTGGCGAAATTTGCCTATTCGCGTTAATGTTGCCTTGGCACTCTCCTGTCAGCGTAAAATCACCCTCTATCCACTTGGAGTGCTAGTCACAAATTGATACTTTATTTAACAGTGAATAAGTAAGAAATTATTATATAAAAACATATACTATTATGTATTTATTTATTGGCAGTTCAGACATGCGATCGAGAAGTCTTTTGACACTTGTGTATTGGGGAAAATTATATTTATGTATATGGCGACGTGTCATGATATATAGATTGGTCAAACAGTCAAAGAAATATGGTTGGTTAACAGATACGAGCAACAACAGATACGAGCAACAACAGATACGAGTAAATTAAATGGAGGGGGTGCGAGCAGTCATACAAGTAATTCAACGCTCGTACCTATTCAAGACATTTAAAACTCAAAGATAGTGAAGAATTAAAGGAATAAATCTGACAGCAAAAAGGATCCAGATACAACATTTAATGAGTATTAATTATTGGAAACGTTAGAAAATATGTATTTAATGTATATGATTGCATAACGTAACATTTAAAGTCATTAATTGCCCATAATAGCATTATTATGACAAAGGTAAGGCTCGTATCCCAAAAGAGCTATAAAAAGGGAAGAAACAAAATTGTAGGGGGAGGTGACTATTGGAATATACTTTGATTTACCAGCTTTCATACTTGGCTATTCTAAAATTTCTTTCTTTATTTACTTTTTCGATTATCAGTAACCCGATTCTTCTAATTTCTAGCTTTGACTAAAAACCTATTTTTTTGGTTAAGCAAATTGGTTCCGTTACCGGGAATCTGATAATCAAGTATATCTCAACCTAATTTTCTTGATTGCATCAATCATGTCAAACAACAATGACAACACTCAAGGAAACCCAGAAATTCAAACAATCCAGCAATTTCAGGGAGACTCTCCACGAGGCTTTCCACAAGGCTCTCCACGAGGTTCCCCACGACGGTCTCGTGAAGGCACTCCTGATGGATCTCACACAGATGGATGGGCTCAATTTGAAAATGTCGAAACCATGAATGAAACTTTGCAAAAACTTATTGCCTCTCAAGTCAATAAAGCTCTTCAGGCTTTTGTTAGCTAATTACCTTTTGCTCCACCCATATCTACTCCAAACAACAATACTTTGGAGAATCCTCGTTCAGGATTGGTTAATTCAGGCAGCGGTGGAACCCCTAGTGAAACACAAGAGAGAGACCCAGGTAATCCAGTTAACTCTGATTTACAAAATCTAGTACTAACCTTGCAGAAACAGCTTAAGGAGCAAAATGAACGCATAGAACAAATACCTGGAGTACCGCCCGTGATCAAGGGAGTAGATATAGATAAATATTCCCAACAACCATGGAAGCCAAGTGCTGCTCCCCTCCCAATTCCAAAGAAGTTTAAGATGCCTGATATTCCAAAGTATGATGGTACATCAGATCCACGAGATCACGTTACTGCATTCACAACAGGTGTCAAGGGCAATGATTTGACTAAGCAAGATATTGAGTCGGTCTTGGTCAAGAAATTCGGTGAAACACTCACTAAAGGGGCCTTAACATGGTATTCTCTTTTACCTGAAAATTCTATAAATTCGTTTGCTGAACTTGCAGATTTATTTATCAAAGCACACTCGGGAGCTCAAAAAGTTGAAAAGCGAATGGAAGATATCTTCAAAATCAAGCAAGGAGACTCAGAGTTGCTTAGAGAGTTCGTAGATAGATTTCAACGGGAAAGAATGACGCTGCCACGAGTACCTGACAATTGGGCAGCCATAGCCTTTGCTAGTAATTTGAATGAGAAGAGTTCAGAAGCCACGAGGCGACTCAAAGAAAGCCTTCGAGAATTCCCAGCAACAACGTGGAATGATGTCTACAACAGATACAACACAAAGATGAGGATTGAAGAAGACATTATTTTACGACATAAAACAGAAGAAAAGGTAAGCTCAAGGCGTGTGGAAAATGAAAAGAGATCCGGTAAAAACAGGTACGAGCCATACATGGGACCTGCGGGGAAAGACTCACGATCAAGACAAGATAATCAAAGGTACGATCACAAACCTAGGAACAGGGAATCAGGCTCCTCATCGAGGTTCGGAAATGACCGGAACACACGTGGGTCACGAGACGATGATGGAAGTCTAAAGGCAAGGTTCGGTGGTTACAACTTCAACGTAAGCACCTCTGAACTCGTGGCTGTTTTAAGAAGCATGGGAGATAAGGTACAATGGCAAAGGAAATGCGATCAAATCCGAACAGACGAAACCCTGATCATTGGTGCGAATTTCATAACGATCATGGGCATAAAACAGCAGATTACAGGTTTCTACAAGGTGAAGTTGATCATTTGTTAAAACAAGGGTATCTTACTGAGTTGTTCAGTGAGAAAGGTAAACAAGCATACATGAAGAACAGACAGGAGCCTCCAAAACCACCTTCGCCCAAGAGAACTGTCAACGTTATAAGCGGAGGTGAAGAGATCAATGATGTATCATATAAAAAGATTTCAAAAGTAACAATTACCCACGGGAAGCGGTCTCGACATGTACTGGAAGAAGAGAATATTATATTCAACAACGCAGACGCCGAGGGACTCATAACTCCGCATAACGACGCACTGGTAATATCTTTACTTGTACATGATACTAACGTGAAACGAGTTTTGGTTGATCCAGGTAGCACTGTAAACATTGTTTTAATGCGGGTATTGCGCGAGATGCAAGCGGAGGATAAATTAATTCCAAAGGCGCATACTTTGTCGGGATTTGATAACTCTAGTGTTGTAACAAAAGGGGAGGCAATACTTACTACATTCGCAGAAGGCATCGTTAAAGATACCAAATTTCAAGTGGTAGATATGGAAATGGCTTACAATATGATTCTTGGGAGGCCATGGATTCATGACATGGAAGTTGTTCCTTCAACTTTACATCAAGTTATTAAATTCCCATCTCCATGGGGAATATGCCAAATCAGAGGCGATCAACAAACATCTAGAAGCATCAATTCCGTTGCAGATTCAACTGTTAAAGGTGAAGACAAATAGCAATTACAGAATTTAGGTGAGGGTAACACGGAGTCAACCTCACCTGAGCAAAAGCAAACAGATCTGGATTCGAGACCTGATACCATTCAAGAACCGGAGGAGAACGACAACGTCAAAACAACGATAGAAGAGCTGGAGGCCGTGGTGTTATTTATACATAGGTCCCGAGAGAAAAGTGTATATAGGAGCTAATCTTAGCCCGGAGGTAAAACGTAAATTGATTGAATTTTAAAGGCTAATGCAGATTGTTTTGCTTGGTCCCATTCTGACATGACAGGGATACCACCGGAGGTCATGACCCATAAATTGAATGAAGATCCATCATATCTTCCCATCAAGCAAAAGAAAAGAAAGCAAGGAACTTTCAAGAACAAGGTGATTCAAGAAGAAGTTCAAAAATTGTTAAAAATTGGTTCAATTCGTGAGGTAAAATATCCTAACTGGTTAGCTAATACTGTTGTGGTTCCTAAAAAGAACGGTAAGTGGCGAGTCTGTGTAGATTACACAGACCTTAATAAAGCCTGTCCAAAAGATTCCTTTCCTTTACCGCACATAGATCAGTTAATTGATGCTACTGCAGGGCATGAGCTATTAAGTATTTTAGATGCATATTCAGGCTATAATCAAATCAAGATGGATCCAGGAGATGAAGAAAAAACTTCTTTTATAACAGACAGGGGGACTTACTGTTACAAGGTAATGCCCTTCGGTCTTAAGAATGCAGGTGCAACGTATCAAAGGTTGGTCACCCAAATGTTTCAAGAACATTTAGGTAAAACCATGGAAGTATATATAGACGATATGCTAGTTAAGACTCAACATTCAGAAGATCATATACCGCACCTATCTGACACATTTAAAATTTTACGAAAATATAATATGAAGTTTAATCCAAAAAAATGTGCATTTGGTGTGGCATCAGGAAAATTTTTAGGTTTTCTTGTTTCTAACCGTGGTATTGAAGTGAATCCTGCACAGATTAAGGCCATTGAAGAAATTCCTGATATACTTTCAAACAAGAAAGAGGTTCAAAGACTAACAGGAAGAATCGCAGCTTTGGGAAGGTTCATTTCTAAATCATCGGAAAAATGTTTTAAATTCTTCTCGGCTCTTAAGAAGCAGGATCATTTTGAATGGGATGAGGAGTGTCAACAAGCACTTAGGGATTTGAAAATATACTTGTCAAATCCACCTTTGCTAGCAAAACCCAAGGCTGGGGAGAAACTTTTTATCTACCTTGCTGTTTCAGAAGTTGCGGTAAGCGCGGTTTTGGTTCGAGAAGAGCAGGGTAAACAATCTCCTATCTATTATGTTAGTAAATCTTTGTTAGATGCAGAGACACGGTATCCACAATTGGAAAAATTAGCACTTGCTCTAATCATGGCATCTAGGAAGTTAAGACCTTACTTTCAATGTCATCCCATTGTTGTAGTAACTGCATACCCCCTACGTAATATATTGCATAAACATGAATTGTCAGGAAGGTTAGCTAAATGGGCCATAGAGCTAAGTGAATATGAAATCACGTACTTACCTAGAACAACAATAAAATCACAGATATTAGCTGATTTCGTCATTGACTTTAGCCAAGGGATGCAATTAGAAGCAGAAAAAGAAGTACAAGTACTTAATGGGGCTAATCCAGGAACATGGACCTTATTTACTGATGGCTCATCTAACGTAAAAGGTGCAGGATTAGGAATTGTTTTAGTACCACCTACAGGTGAAACTATTAGGCAAGCTATTAAATGTCATTCCGTAACTAACAATGAAGCGGAGTATGAAGCTGTGATTGCAGGTTTAGAATTGGCACGAGAACTTGGTATAAATCAAGTAGTGATCAAAAGTGACTCGCAGCTCGTGGTTAATCAAATGCTGGGGACTTACACAGCTAGGGAAGCAAGGATGCAGCAGTACTTGGAAAAGGTACGGGAACTGATAAAGCAATTCCAAACTTGAAAGGTCATACAGAT